TGCTCATTTTTCCCTCTCACCTCCATTTACAGTCCCGCCCTCCTCTGCCTCACATCATCCCTTTCCTCCCCTGTCTGTCCCCAATCACCACTTTACACCCATCCCTCCCTCCCCCTCTCCCTCACTCCCCCCTGTCTGTCTGTGTTAGAGGTGGTGATGAGTGGGTGAGCAGCAGGGAGGGAGGAGGGCACACAGTGATGTAATGCAGGAGCAGCTGACAAATCCCAACAAGCGAGAGAGAGAAGAGGGGGGGAAATGAGACAGAGGGTTGGAGAGAGAGGTTAGGGGAGGAGAGGCGTCTCCGGTGTAGCAGGAAACGGCAGCAGGCTGGAGGCTCGTGGCAGAGGGATGTTCGAGTCCTAATCAGAGGCGAGAGCAGAAGAGAGGTGCTGACAGAGGGCGCCGGCAAATGGATTATGAGAGAAAGAGGACATAAAGGAGGACGATAGCAGGAGGAAGGGACGAACAGAAGGAGGGAGGGGGAGCCTGGGAATAAATCGCCGCGGCCATTTGCACCACTGCAGCTCCCCGGCCTGAGCCGCTGCCTGTCTGACTGTTCAGCTTCAGCTTTCCGCCTGTCTGTTCTGAACCCGCTGTCTGTGGATCTTTGCCTGTTTTATCAGCTTCCTGTTTGTGTGTGTGTGTGTGTGTGTGTGTGTGTGTTTGTATGTTTCTGGGTGACCGTGTGTGTGTATGTCTTCTTCCCTTGCAAAAATGATGAGACAGACTCCTGCACCCCGGAAGGTACAGAACTCCATGTGATGCTCTTTTTCTGTTGGGTTTCTTGTGTTGATGTTATCATCCTTTTCGTTTTGTTGGCAGAGCTGTTGTAAAGGTCATGTGTCCTCATTTTGTTTAAGGTGGAATTGCCTTTTTCCCCATTTTTTCCCCAGACCATTGATATTTAATATTCCCAGCATAAAAGTAAAAGTGTTTGCAGCTCAGCTGTGCTCTTTCTTTGACTTCAAAGTTTATTTTGCCCATGCTGTCGGTAGCTGTCCATGCTTCTACATGTGTTTGCAGTTGTTGAGTTGCCTTGTATCATATTTATTGTTTTATTTAGCCTCATCATACGGAAGCTATGTCTTACTCAAGACTATACGTTGATTTCCATCACTGTTTGCAGATGTGGCAAACAGGCAGATGTGGTTTGAGTACAGTTTTTTCTGGCAACTATAGCACAACATGGTGGTTTAAGAGGACTGACAGATCTTAGGTGGTACAGCTATAAGCTTGGGCAAGTTTCTGTTGGATGGTAGTGCTTTAATCCAATAAAGAACAATAACAAGCCAAAGCCCAGATGGAGATGGATATTGATTGAGTGCACTGAGGGCAGATAGTGGAAGATAATTGGATGCAACAGATCATTTTACATGAATATGGTAGAAAGTATACAAGTGTCTGGTCAGGCTTGGGTTAAGTTTAAATCATCATCATAGACGTACTTTAATATGAAGTGATAGTCACAAGAAAAGATTAATATTGTTAACTGTAGATTTATTGTAGCAGTGCCTGAATGCTTCAGAATTTTCTGGTATCGTCAAAGATTGTTTCCTCTGTAATTTAACACTAATTACAGGTAACAGAGACAATGGTTAATTGGTACATTTGTAATATATTAGAAATCTTTTCCACGTGCAAATCTAGACTTACTAGTCGCAAGACTTACTTCCAGGATCTTTAAAGAAAATAATTTGAACTTTAGTATGTTGTAGAAAAACAGACTATGATTTTAATCTGCTGAATAGCGACTCAGTTTCTCAGTTTCATGTCGCTGGAAAATAATTAGGTCATGTAACCTGGGCCTAGAGATCAGTCTATGAAGCCCTGATAACCTTTGGTTAGTTGGGGAAAAATGTATTTCTACCAGTCGAATGTTGGAGGTTTTTTGCTGTTAGTAGGTGAAGTTGGGTTACAGTGCTGTACCGAGCACCTCCTTGCAGACGTATGAAAGATGCCAGCTTGTCTGCATATACTCCCCAAATACTTGCTAAGCAGTCGTAAAACTGCAGAGTGTAACACAAACCATAAATGGAGACCACCAAAGTAAAAGTTTTAAAATGTATTGCTTTCAATCTCTTATTTTGGAGGCATTCCCAGTTTGCATAAGTTTTACTACTGGTAGTGGTTAGATGGCAAGTGTTTGCAGACAAGTTGGTATCTTCCATGAAAACTGTAGTCGGCCGTGGTAGTCTGCTACCAAAACCAATCACAAGGGCATTTGTGTTGCCACAACTTTGCAACTGGTTTCAAAAACCACTCTCCAACCCACTGAGGAATACACATTCCTCACAGGGGATTGTTGGCTAGTCTATAGGCCTGGGTGACTGAAGACTTGTGGACAAGTTACCAGGGAATCTATAGTTTAACTGCATTTGTCATTGTCATCCTTGAGGTAGGAAATCAAAAATAGTGTAACCCATGTGTGTTATACAGTGCAAAGTGTTTCTTTACAAGCTCAACTGCAAATCCTGTCATCCACCCTGCGGTGTAGCATGTCTGAAACACATGTTGTACCTGAATGCTGCTGTTACCTCAGCAGTATGAGTGTAGTTCGACATAGATGAAGCTAAATGAGATACAATGCGGTCATTGAGGTCACAGCGGCAGTACCAGTCAGTGTCTCTGTTGTTGCCAAGACTGTGGTCATATGGGTGGATGAGATGAGGCCCAGAGATGAGTTAAGACAATAAAGATCATTAGAGAAACAGAGCAGAGATCTGTGTAGATGTTATTATGATAGATGATAGTAATATAAGTAAGGGCGTCTTGTCAAGAAGAATACATTAACAGGGTTTCAACTGTGAGTGAAGCAGCAAATATTCAACAATGGCCTAAAGTCATATCAGCTTCATCCACTCATTCTTACTTTTTATTTTTTTGGAATCTTTCTTTACTATGACTTTGCCTTGAATTACTAACCCTGGTTGTTTGTTTCCTTCCCTTCCCTTCCCTCCTCTCCTCCTGCTGCCCTTTGACCTTTACCTGCTTCCTCTCCTCTTCTTCAGACCACGGCCAGAAGGCCAAAGGTGAGCCCAGTCTTCAACATCATCAGGGTTTCCACCTTTTGTCAGCCTGCGTTATTTGAACATGCGATTATTATTTTCACTTCACGAGGCAGATCAGATTTATGAACATAACTCATAACACGAATCGTATTTTTGTTCAAAAGCATAAAAGATGGTCTACTTTAATCTTACAGATTTTACACTTTTTAAAACATCTTATGTTTATTTCAACACTACATTTATTCATCTAAAGTTTGCTTTATTTCTTATTGCTTTCCATCTGCTGCACACCTTTTTTCATATATTTTTAGCACTTCTCATTTAGTATTACATCGAAATTTACAACAGCTAATAAACAACTCAGTCAATTTTTAGATAAACTGAAATTCTCTTTTTAAGGTCTGAAGCTAACAAAACAATGAGCATGAATAATCAAATATCTGTTAATAATATATAGACATTTAATATTATACAGATGTTCAGGTCTCAGCTAGTAGAATAAAAAAATGTAATGATAAATAATTTAACAATTATTTTGATGTAGGTGATTTTATAGAGAAGCTAAATCCAGCCCCAAAGTTGAGTTAAATTAAGAGCACAGTGCAAAAGTGGTGAACTTTACCCAATGTCTTTACATTTCGCTTGGAAAGAGAAAGAGGTGCAGTGATTAATTAAATCATGCACAAACATGAAAGAAAATGCAGCATCTATGGCAGAGTTCGTACAATTTTAAAGACCGTGTTGTTATGACCATGTTTTATTCTTCAACATATTTATTTTATTGAGCTATACATTTTTTTTTTGCAGTCTGTTAGTAACAATGTGCTTAATGGTACAGTTTAAAAGTTGTCCTGTTTAATCGGGATCCTTGGAAAGAAAATATAAAGAAATGAGGGAAGACTTTTCCACAGCACTGTAACTCAGTCAGATGCAGCTATTAACATTTCTCATGGTGCTTCTTCTCATGTTGCTTGTAGACACCACATCCTGAATCACAGCTGTCAAGCCAAAAAAAAACCCAACTACAATAATTAAATGCAGTCAGCTTGCAGAGGGACACCTTTTTTGGCCTCATCCACACAAATGATTTACTGTTAGCTGCTTTTTGCAAAGTGTTTCTCTCTTTTAAAAAAAAAAATGTAATTCTTGTTGTTGATTGGACTTTTTTCTCGATTCCTTCAGCAGCCCAGCCGACCTGCAGGAGGGAAGGGGGCCGCGTCTGGCTCGGCTTCAGCCTCTGCTGGGGAGATGAGCAGCAGCGAGCCCAGCACGCCGGCACAGACCCCCCTGGCTGCTCCGGTCATCCCCACCCTCCACTCCCCTGGAAACCCTCCAGCTCCCATCCCCAGCAAGGTCAGTGTGTGTCTGGATCAGAAGTTCTATTCACCCTGCGTTGGACAGATCTGATGTGTTTTACTGTTTATCTATACATTTTTCTTTTCTTTGAATGCTTATTGACCCATTATGAAGGAAGCTTCTGTGGCAGCACTTAGTCCACAACAAGTATTTATGCGAATGAGCAAAGCCTGCTTAAAAAGGCACTACCCATAGTCACATTAATTCATTCATACATTTTGTTTAACAGGATTTAATGTACCACCACAGTCAGTGGACTCTGAGTATAACCCACACAAGCCCAGCGAAGGAGTAAAATCAGATGTGACAACGTTGTCAGTATCTCTCCTCTAAATTTAAGTGTATTTTTTGACCCAGCTGTCACTTTGTGTTGACATCATCCAGCAGAGTCAGAACGAGAGCCGAAGGCCTGAAACGCTTTTTAGGCAACGTGACAGAATTTACCTTTGTTTTTGTGAATTATCTGCCTGTTAATGTGCTGATAACAAATCAACACCAAGATTTTATCTGTGTCTCTCGTTTTCTTTTGCATATTAAGTTGTATTATCTCATATTAAGTTGTATAATCTCTGATGTTTAAATTTTAAACATCAGAGATTATCACATCAACCTTTTGTAAAAATCGCCTTCTGAGTGTGTTGTTTTTTTTTTTTAATGAAATGTTAAAGTCGGAATAATCAGTCTAATTGGTATTTTGTCCCCTCAGGAAGATGTCACTATGGAAACACAGGTGCAGCGAGGTGGTGTGATGTGATGTTTCTGCACTTGAAGTATTGAAGTGTTGTTCTGCTCTCACTAACGTTTTAATCAGCTGAGGCGTGGCTCCTTTTTTAACCTGTGTGTGTGCAGTGATTGTCTCTGCTGCACGTTTATCACAGGATTCAGAGAGTGTTTAGAGGAGTGTGATTATCTGTGTGTGCACACTGGATGTGTGATACAGCATGTGTGTGTGCGTGTGTTTTCTCTCCACAGGTGAATTTTCTGCAGGTTTAATATTTAATGCGTAAGTGCTTCTAACACAAGGCTTTAAACCTGATTCACTGCTTTCGGTCTTCACTCTGAAGAATCATTAAAGAGAAATGACTCAGAAAAAGAAAAGAAAATGGAAGTTTGAATCCTCCTTTTGTGTTTTAGAGAGTTTCCTCTAATATGTGTTTATTTAAATCTCACTTTTCCCCTTCATCTTGTCCATATAACTGTTACCCAGGAAGAGGAGGCGCTGCGTAATCAAGTGAAGGATCTGGAGGAGAAGCTGGAGACCCTGAAGATGAAGCGCACGGAGGACAAAGCAAAACTGAAGGAGCTGGAGAAGCACAAGATCCAGCTGGAGCAGCTGCAGGAGTGGAAGACCAAGATGCAAGAGCAGCAGGCCGAACTGCAGAAGCAACTCAAGGAGGCCAAGAGGGTAAGGAGCCACAGATGGAGGAGGAGGGAGGGGATGCAGTGCAAATGCTCAGGCGAAAAAGTGTTAAAAAGCAGCAGTTGACTGCTAACAAAAACTATCCAGCAATTGCATTCCTTCCTTAGCTTCCAATGAACTACAAATTTAAAAATCTTATTAATTACTCTTAATTTAAGTCTGTAGGTTTTGAGATTATTGGGCCTAAACTCATCTCAACCTTTATTGCAGATTATTTATTTATTTTGGTGAAGTGTTCACAGTGTGTTTGATTAACAGCACCTGGCTGCCGCATACCTTCTTACTTTCTGTAAAATTATTATTAAAGGGGAATAAGGGGAAAAGTATACGATTTGCATGCAGTTTAAATAACATGCAGTTATGTAATACTTTGTTGAAACTAAGCTTTTCTGTGTGTAGGAGGCTAAAGAAGCTCTGGAGGCAAAGGAGCGTTATATGGAGGAAATGTCGGACACAGCGGACGCCATCGAGATGGCGACGCTGGATAAGGAGATGGCTGAGGAGAGAGCAGAGTCTCTGCAGCTGGAGGTGGATTCCCTCAAGGAGAAAGTGGATGAGCTCACCATGGACCTGGAGATCCTCAAGCATGAGATTGAGGAGAAAGGTACTGAGGAGCTGATTTTATCATTGTAGATGTTGTATCCAGGCCTCATTTCTGTTAAATCAGGACATGAACAATCAATACAAATACTGAAGTTTGAGTCTGGGTTTTAAAGTGTGTAAAATGAACATCAATTTAGAGTGAAAAGTTTGCAAGCTTTAATGACGAGCTTTTCTTTTTTGTATTGTTTTTGGGTTTCTGTCAGGCTCAGATGGTGCCGCCTCCAGTTACCATGTGAAACAGCTGGAGGAGCAGAACAGCAGGTTGAAGGAAGCTCTGGTCAGGTAGGTCCGCTGATGTCTTCATGAAAGCCACAATTATACTGAACTGAACTTTAATTCAGAACTTTACAAGCTCCAAAACACTGATGCGTGTTTTTGTGTCCAGGATGCGTGACCTGTCTGCGTCAGAGAAGCAGGAACACGTGAAGTTGCAGAAGCAGATGGAGAAGAAGAACGTGGAACTTGACTGTTTGAGAAGCCAGAAGGAGAAACTGCAGGAAGAGATGAAAGCGGCAGAAAAGACCATCGATGAGCTGAAAGAGCAGGTCAGTGGACCTTATGACTGAGCTGTATGTAGAGGAAGTGAAAGGTAGCTTCCCCCAGGCCTGTGATCTTTTAATTCGTGGGATGGATAACAGCAGAAAAACAACATGTGCTCTGTTTCAGGTGGATGCAGCCTTAGGCGCAGAGGAGATGGTGGAGACTCTGACAGAGAGGAACTTGGACCTGGAGGAGAAAGTCAGAGAGCTGAGAGAGACAGTCACAGATCTGGTGAGTGACAATCGCCCAGAACAAACATGGCTTAAAAAAAAAATCCCAAAGTGATTTTCAGTCCATAAACACTGATTTATTTCTCACTATCTCGTTTTACTGCTCAGACTGGCCTACCTGCATACATTCATAGTAATAAGGTCTGAAAAAATTGAAGTATTGCTGTTTGCTGACTCATTTCATTAATAATATGGGGCCGGGGTCATTAATATGCATTTGGAGCCCTCTGGTGTTTGTCATCACTGCAGCTTTTGTTGGATTAAAGTGCTCCTTTGGTGTGCACTGACCTAGAACAATGATCATATGATCCTACACAAGAAACTCGTCTGTCTTGTGCCTGTCATTAAAGAACGTTGTTTTTTCCAAGAATAAACAAAACATGAGTTTATACAAGCTGCAAAATCTCATTATTATCCCACAAGAATTAATTGATCTAGAAAAACAGAGACAGATTTCAAAAATCAAATTCAAAAAAAGGAGGTGGCCCTGATTGTTTGTGTGCACGTCTCCTTTGTGCAGGAAGCTATCAATGAGATGAACGACGAGCTGCAGGAGAACGCCAGAGAGACGGAGCTGGAGCTGAGGGAGATGCTGGATCTGGGAGCAGCGAGAGTCCGAGAGGCAGAGAAACGAGTTGAAGCCGCACAGGAGACCGTAGCCGATTACCAGCAGACCATCAAGAAGTACCGCGAGCTCACAGCTCACCTACAGGTAAACATGTAGAGGAAATATGTAAAATGTGTTTTCACATCTAACCTGTTAATCACGTGTTGGTGTCCTACAGTCAGTCAGTCACGATTGTTCTCATGTGTTTGCTGCAGGAGGTGAACAGAGAGCTGACCAGCCAGCAGGAAGCCTCAGCAGAGCTGCAGCAGCAGCCGCCAGCAGAGATGTTTGATTTCAAGATTAAATTTGCAGAGACGAAGGCCTACGCCAAGGTCAGAAACAATCACAGGGTTTTGGTCTGAATAATAAGTAGCTCTCATCCTCTTTTCACGTGTTTACAGGTTTTAAATCAAAACTTCTGATTTTAACTTTGGAGCTAAACAAAACTTCTAATGTCTGTGTATGTTTTAGGCTATTGAGATGGAGCTGAGGAAGATGGAGGTGGGTCAGGCCAACAGACACGTTTCTCTTCTGACCTCCTTCATGCCAGAGTCCTTCCTCCGTCACGGTGGAGACCACGACTGCATCCTGGTGTTGTTGCTCATCCCCAGACTCATCTGCAAGGTAAAAGCCACTGCATCTTTTAGAAACTGGAAGAAGAGACTTGCTCTTCGTGAGGTTTAAATATGTTTTTGTAACTGTTTACATGTCTTTTAGGCTGAGCTGATCAGCAAACAGGCACAGGAGAAATTTGACCTGAATGAAAACTGCGTGGAGCGAGCCGGCTTGAAGGGAGCTTTGGGTGAGCAGCTGAGCTTCGCGGGTGGTCTCGTCTACTCGCTCAGTCTGCTGCAGGCCACGCTGCACAAATATGAGCAGTAAGTTTCACCACAGACTCTAAACTAAAGATTAACAACTATTCTATCAGTTTTTTAAGTTGTAACTGTATTTTCAGTGTTAATGTCCTGGCTGTGCCGGACGCTGTTTCACTGCTTCCAAATAAAGAATTTTTTCAGGGGTTGCTTATCATTAGAGTAACTCCTCCATACGCTCTTCTTGTGCTTGTCAGAGCTCTGTCTCAGTGCAGCGTGGAGGTCTATAAGAAGATCGGCTCTCTGTACCCAGAGATGAGCGTCCATGAGCGATCTCTGGACTTCCTTATTGACCTGCTGCACAAAGACCAGCTGGATGAGACCGTCAATGTGGAGCCGCTCACCAAGGCCATTAAATATTATCAGGTACACACAAACAAACTTAATGCATGATTACTGCAGTTTAATATAACTGTGTTTTATTAAAACAAAGTATTTAATGTCTAATATTCTGCCTTATTTTCATTATATTTATATTAGTTATTTTTATACTATAATAGATTTTCAAGATATTATGGTATATTTTTCTATATTGTATTACAAAATTCATTTGCATTATGATGAAAACATGCAATTTAGACACTGCTTGTTTAATGATATTTGTCCTTTTTCAGCACCTGTACAGCATCCACCTGGCAGATCAGAATGAGGACTGCACCATGCAGCTCGCTGATCACATCAGAGTGAGTATCGACATCACCTGCAGTCTCTGAGGAATCTGTAGGAAGTTTATAAACCCCATCGGCCCTCAATCCAGCTTCGTTTTAATCTTTTTTTCATGTATTTTTATTAAGATGCTTCTGTTTCTGCTGCTTAAAGAAAATAGACTTCACTGGTTACTCGTGGCTTATGTTCATGTGCAGTTTACCCAGAGTGCCTTGGACTGCATGGCTGTGGAGGTGGGTCGTCTGCGGGCATTCCTGCACGCGGGTCAGGAAAAAGCCGATCTCGCCGTGCTGCTGAAGGATCTGGAGACATCCTGTAGTGACATCAGGCAGTTCTGCAAGAAGATCCGTCGCAGAATGCCTGGAACTGATGCGCCCGGCATCCCAGCGGCACTTAGCTTCGGACAGCAGGTAACCATAGTGACCAAACCATCAAGTTAAAAAAAAAAACCCCAAAACAACAAGAACCCCAGATCTATGGTGAAAGTCACAGTAAAAAAATTCTTTTTTTTTTTTTTTTTTTAAATCTGTTTTTCATTTCATGTTCGTTTTCTTCGTTTTTACCTTTTTACCCAACAGGTGTCAGACACCCTTTCAGACTGCAGGAAACACCTGACCTGGGTGGTGGCAGTCCTGCAAGAAGTGGCAGCAGCCGGAGCTCAGATGATGTCACCTCTTGGTGAACAGGAGGGGCTGTCGGCCGTCAAACTGGAGGACGTGGCGTTCAAAGCTGGAGAACAAGTACATTACATTACATTAGTACTTAATTGATAAAGGCCAAGTGACCTGACTGAGACGTATGTCCAGGACACTGCTTAGAGTCATTTGTAATTCAGAATTGTGGCTGACAACAAAAAGTAATATTGATTTAGGTGCAAAAATTCTTTTATAGCAGAATATTTCAATTAAATGAATTAAAAACAATGCAGTGACACAGTGACAACAGTTTCCATTAGAAGTCATCTTGCAGCAGGAATTATTGGAAATTTTGCGAGCCAGCAATTTTTTGAATGAACTCAATGTGAGCTGAGAAAGTGTTTATGTAACGGAAACTATTATAAAAGTCTCACCTGCTAATCGAAGGAGTTCATGCACTTTGACTTTTGTTGTGTGTCTGAGCATGTTTATGGACAACTGTTTTGACAGCCTCCTGGACAATCATACTTTCGTTTTCAGATCTATGGATCCCAGGGTGCCAACCCCTACGAGTATCTGCGACAGTCCTGTAGCATCGTCATAGCAACCATGAACAAGATGGCGACTGCTATGCAGGAGGGAGAGTATGACTCAGAGAAGCCTCAAAACAAGGTAATTAGCTCAGTGTGGGGCCACTGTGAAGGTGTGTCGGTATTTTAGTTCTGGCTTTGTGAACCCAGAATATTATTTTCATATTACTCCGTTTTTCTTCCAGAACCCTCCGCCAGTAGATGTGCGCGCGGCAGCTCTTCGAGCAGAAATCACAGATGCAGAAGGACTCGGCTTGAAGCTGGAGGACAGAGAGACTGTCATCAAGGAGCTGAAGAAGTCTCTCAAGATCAAGGTAGAGAGAAGCAGCAAATTCACTGTGAATAAAAACATTAAAAACACAGAACTGCCGAATCTTTTGTCAGGTTAGAGCTCATGCAGCTGAAATGATAGGTATGTATCTGGAGTTTGTGTAATTGTGTTTTCTGAACTGGTCAATGTTCACATCTGTACACACTGAGGGAATCTGCTCCAAAATATCTGAAGAAAAGTTACAAATTCTGCAGAGACACAGTGTTTTGATTTAGGGGGGTATGTGTGCTTTTTCAGGGAGAAGAGCTGAGCGAGGCGAACGTGCGTCTCAGCCTGCTAGAAAAGAAGCTGGACAGTTCATCCAAAGATGCAGACGAACGTGTTGAGAAGATCCAAACTCGACTGGATGAAGCTCAGACTCTGCTAAAGAAGAAGGAGAAGTAAGAATAAGAACACGTCTGTAGATTACTGAGATCTACAGTTGTGTGATGTTGTCCTCTCCTCTGCAGAGAGTTCGAGGAGACGATGGATGCTCTGCAGGCCGACATCGATCAGCTTGAGGCAGAGAAGGCCGAACTGAAGCAGAGAATCAACAGCCAATCAAAGATGACCATCGATGGGCTGAGAGGAACCGGGCCGTCAGGAATCGCCTCCATTGTCACAGGAATGGCTGGAGGTGAGTGAAGCAGCTGCATAACATGCTCTTAGTTTGGTGGTTCTCTGGTAATGGATAAATTCCTACTTTAACTAACCTACCTGATAATCACACTGCAGGATTGATACTGAATTTTGTGGTTATATATCATTATTTTAACTCCAGTTTAATACCTTTCCTCAACAACCAATGATTCTTCTCTCCGTATAACTCTTCTTTAATTCCTCTTATTTTCACCTACTCATTCTTCAGAGGAACAAAAAGGTATCTACTTGCTTCTATTGGCATCTGATGTGATGATGCATGCTTATTTATTTTATTTTTTTACCTTTAGTGGTTCACTCGCATGATATGAGAGGAGTTAAACATGACATGCATGTGTCTGCAGGTCTGGAAATTCCAAGGTGTCAGAAAACAAACCCATTCACTACAAATAATCGTACCACTAAACCAGGAAGTTGTAGCACAAGAAAGAGCTTTGAATTACATTGAAATAAATAATCTGACAGTGGATCAAACAGCATTATATTGTTTGTGTTGTACTCTGTATCTAAAAGTCTTAGTAAACCTTGTAGGAACTCATTTGTGTATATGCATTGTTTTGGCATGCACACCATATCCCTCCCATGTTTTTAAGGACATCTGCTTATTATTTATGCATATGTTTGTATGCAAGTCAGTCAGAATGCACAGGAATGGCATCTGCCAAATAAATGCAGTGGAATAAAAAGTCAAATGTATTTTTGCTTCCACCGCCGTGCACCTCTAGCATGCAAGAGGATTATTTACTTTTTCATCAGAACTCAATGTTAAAGACGAGAGTGCAAAGCTGTGGTCAGAGGGTCAAACGAATGTGAAAATACTGCCAACATTCAGGTTTAAATAAAGCTTTGGCTTCACTCAAATACTCATAAGGCGTTCCTGTTATCGTTCACAGCGAACATGGTGTCAGGTGTCGGCTCTGGATCGGGCGTTCAAGTGATCGACTCACCTCTGCTGACTCAGCAGATCGAAGCTCAGAGGCTCTGCATCAAACACCTGAAGAACGAGAACAACAGGCTGAAGGTAACGAATGCCTCTCCACCACCTCAGCATGCGACGGATGCAACAGTGAAGTCACACTTTAGAGGTCAAAGAACCTGCAGAGGCTACACAAATAACTGAAGAGTGAAATTATTCCTTCATTAAACACAACAAATATGGTTAAAAAAAAAAAAACTTGTAGATTTTCAAAGCTGAGATTTTACTTTGACTTCCACATGGTTTGAGGCTTTTTGAGTTAAGATCACAACACCTAAAATTAGATGGATTATTTTTATTCACCATCAACATGTGTTCTCCAACAGGCGGAGAAGATGCGTGCTCAGCTCGCCTCTCTGCCTCCTCTCAATGTGACCAAGCTTCCCTCCAAAGACGGACGTCCTGAAGTGCTCTCCAGCGCCCTCTACCGTAAGACCGATCAGCTCCTGGAGACATTGCTGCAAATGAGTGCCAACGTCAAGGTGGTGGACATCACTGGAAAATCTCCTGGTATGTGACATTTCTTCCTCGAGGAAAGGAATTCATAAATATTTGACACGACAGTGTCAAAAGCAGCACAGTTAGACTGAATAACTTTTAGCTGAGTGAAGAATTAATGTGCAAAGAAAACTAAAATGTTCTCCTACCTGATATCTCACCACCAAGAGTAATTCTTTTGATTAAACTGGCATTTTCCCATTTCTGTAGGCTAAAGCAGGTTAGGTAACAGGAAGTCTTCATAATATTTGCCTTGTATTGTTTGTGTTGTCTGCTAAATCTATAGAATCCTGGATGATCTTAACTTAATTACACCAGAAATCATGTGCAAATATTTAGAACTGATTGTTGGGCACTGATTTCAGAGATTTTCTCATTTTGTTTTTGCCCTGCAGTGACCCCTGGTGCTCAGCTTCTGGAACAGACAGCTAGACTGCAGTCCCTGAATGACACTCTGGACAGACTGAAGGTGCAAATAAAACACAAAGCTGTGAAGCACAGAGAGAATAAGCTGATAAAAATGCACAAAAGTTACATTAAAACATTACTGTTCAAGCTGATGCTGCACTTGAAGTGCTCACCTTAGTCTTCATCTCTTCTGCTTCTGTCAGGACGAGGTAGCAGAACATGTCGTCAACCTGCAGCCCGGCGCTCGAGTCTCATCTGATTTCGCCACGTTCCCTTCGACCTCATTTGTTAAGGTAAGTCTGCTGGTCCATGCACTCTGGTAAAGTTCGGTTTTGACTTGGAGGTGGATGAATGAAAGCTTTTGGTGGTCTCACAGTAGCAACGGGGTACAAATACTTGTGAATTTAAAGTTCTAAAGCCGACTGCTTTTCTGTGTTTAGGTGAAGGAGGAGAAGAAGGGTGACACGGTGCTGGTGGGAAGGGTCATGGTGCCGTGTCCTCGCGGTCAGGAGCAGGTCCACCGCCTCGTCCTGTCACAGTCGGAGCTTTGGCGAGTTCACAGTCTGCTGCGGACCTAAACATCACATGCCCCGCCTTCCCGCCAGCCGCACCAAAACACTCCACCACCATCAGCTTTTTCTCCAGGGCCAAACAAGTCAAACCAGGAGGCTTTTTAGGTTATTAGCTGTGAGATTACAACCTGCAGCTCTGGCATCAAAGTGCACAGGTGAAGGCTAAAACGTAGAAATATAGAAGTCTAAATTTGTTAGTCGACTGACAAGCAGCTTATTGGCAACTGTGTTAGTCACTGTCACATTAAGTTTTGAAGACTGAGAAGTCTTCCTCAGATTTTTAGCGTTTTTAAATGTCGAGGGTTTTCATGTGTTATTTGAATATCAGTGGAATCTACACTGATGGCTTGAAAAACATTTCTTGTAATTATTCCTATTTTAAGACATTTTAAAAGAACTGAGAAAATAACTGGGGAGATTAACTACTAGTGATTATTTTCAGTCCAGGTCAGAGGCTAAAGAGAAGGACTGTTTTGTTTTTTCACACAGCCAAAATCAGACTGCACATCTTTGCACATGTGACTCGTTTCAGGCAACTCTGCATTTGACTGAGGCCTTGCTGGCTGTAAATTGGAACCTGGATGATGAGATTGTGATGCCATCCTTGTAATTTACGTCTAGATTTTGTTTTATGGCCAGAAAAACAGAGATAAAAGCGACAATGCTCTTGCATGCTGCCCAGATTCACCAAATCTATGTAGTAGAAAATGAGCCAGCCTCCTCCTGCACCCTGGTGTGGTTTATATTTGGCCAGAACATTGGATGTTGTTTCATATTTCCCGTTTGCAGTTATTGCCTAACGAGATGTGAAGAATCATGAGCCTGTGCTGTAAACTTTCATGAGGTGTCACTGTGACGTTCTCCGTTTTAAGAACATTGCTGTAAAAGGAAAGGAGCACTGAAATGATGGATTTGCCAGTTTAAGTGAGCGGGCATTGACACGGTTTTTTTGCACATTTAATTTAAATACTGAGCCTTCTGAAGTTAAATACAAACTGAGGGTTTTAGTGTTTACCTCTGTGGCTTTGCTGGCTGCACAGAACAGAAAAACAAAACAAAAACATTAAGCTCAGTGGTTTTCCTGAAATTCTTCTGCAGATTTACACACAATCTGGCTGCACTTTAGCCAGAGCATTACATGGTTTAAATTATTTCACATATACTACACTTTTGGTGTAACCTGTAACTGTGTATTTTATTGGCTTGGTATAAATGACACACTGGTCGCACTGGTGATATTCGACTGCATTGCTTGTGTTCTGCTGAGCTTCCCGTTGCTGTAGATTTTGTAAACTTTGTCCGAGCCTTAAACCTGCAGAGAGCCTTTTGGTAAAGATCAGTCACCTGCCTTATTTTAGATTTGTTTCAACCAAACATTGTTTAAGCAAAGCAACATCTTTGCCAAAGAGTCTTTGTTTTTCTTCACATCTGCCATGTTTGATTTTCAAGAAGCTTTTAATTTATTATTAATTTGTCTAATAGACTGTTTTGTTTACACAGTGCTGTCATAACTTGAAGTTTTATTTATTAATGGGAATCTAAGTAACTGTAGTTAAAGAGGGAAATGCAGACATCTCTTATTTATTGGTTGTAATATTTATCTGTGCTCTCAGTGAGCAGCTGATGTACTGAAACTGCAGCTTGTCTTACCTTTTTCCTTGTGTGGCTTCCTGCTCATGCACAACCAATAACTGATCAATAAAAACATTAAAACAAGCATTTCACCGTCTTGAATCTACTGTGGGTTAAGCAAAAACAATAATTTACATCTAAAACATGTAAATTTGTTCAAATTTTGTTTATTTTAACATAAAAACATTTTCTAGTTGCGAATTTGACCTTAAAAACAAACAAAAACATCAGAGATGTTTCCATTTAAATGTAATTCTAATTTCAACATAATCTTTAAATTAAAAATATGTACATTAAAAGTGTAAAAAATAGTTTCACGTCGTTGATTTCAATATCCAGTCGCTTGTTCTGATTATTGCCACGCTGATCTTCTGCCCAGGACTCTGTTTGTGATTCTCTAAAAGAGACACACAGTCATTGATTCGATTCACACAACGTTACAGTTTGACACAGCAAGCAGTCTTAAAGACATCTGTGGTTTCAATCATACAAACTGCTTTAACACACAACTTTCTTCTAATTTGAGCGCGTGAGGCTCATTTATAGGAACATGTAATTGGAGTGCTCGAAGCACGGGCACATGAATGACAAAAGGTGTTTGTACCTTGTTGAAAAGTTGTGCATTCAGTCGGTAAGTGTGATACTCTGCTTTCCTTCGTTCCTCCTCTCTCCTCCTCTGCACCTCTGGCAGATTCTCGTATATCCTGACGGAGAGACAGTGTTCAGTAGAAGATAGACTGACACTGATACTGTGTGAGGTACAGTTATGGTTCTGATGTTGTCACATAAAATGAATCATAACAGCAGCTTACTGTTTGGACCTCTGGATCATCTCCTTCCTGGGAACGGCCCTCTGGAGCAGAGCAGCGCCTTCAGAGAGAGAAACAAACCATAATTAAAAACTAACTGAATAACTCTCTAAGCTAAATCAAAAAAGACCTTATAGTCCCTCAGGTAACTTTTACTGGATATAAGAAGGACAAGTGGACAGATTATCAGCTCAGTAAACTAAAAGTTCTTTGAGCAGCATCCATCCCCTCCGCTGTTTGGTACCTGCAGGCCTTGGCAGCCTCCCAGCTCCTCCTGGGTGGTTAAATAGATCCCCCCTCTCTTGGATTAAAGCAGCTTGTAGCTTCCTCTCCTCCACCTGCAGAAACAGACGATTCACCCTCTGCATGGACCGGGAAATAAACTCTGGACGATGCATCTCCAAGGCCTCCTGCAAAGTAACAGGAAACCGACAGTGTTACCTTTTTAATTGGTATTATGATGGTAAAGTTTATCTTGCTGACACCCATGATAGAAGCCTTTAAGTAAGTAATTTACACGTCTGAAATTCAAATGTTTTCATACAATTCCTACGAGTATAATTCTCTAAAGAGGAATATAAGCTAACCTGAAGTGACATGTATGCTGGACCAGAAGACATATGTTTAGGATCAAGCTCTGGCTCCAGTTCAGGCTCAGAGTGATGTTTGCTTGTGTCCTCATGCACTTGTCTCTGTCTGAGCGGCTGTCTCCATGGGTTGATTCTGCTGTATGGTTCAAACCAGGCGATGTTTGGTCTCTCTTCCTCCGGCTGGTTCTCCTTCCTTGCCTCTGACAGCAGGCCGTCAGCAGAGATGAACCATGAAACGGCTGAAAAAGCCCACAGAAAAAAATTTAACCAAGAATAAAACAGGGATTTAATTTATAAAATGAAAAGTTACAGTTAGCTGCAAATAGGGATGGAACCGGTAATAGCACCAGTTCTAACATTTCCTGAGATTTTTTTTCCTGAGATGTCACACACTTTGGATTCTAGCCAATCATTTTACCTTTCCGAGGATAGTAGGCGGGCCAAGGTACGTACGTTCTTTTAGAGCAGAGCTACAGATTAAAAATGCCCAAGGCGAAGCGGTCAAAAGTCTGGCTGTACTTCACAGCAAAAGATGCAAACTCAGCAGCCTGCAACAAGTGCTTTAAGGTGATACTGTGCAAAGGAGGAAACATCTCGAATCTGATGAAACACCTGGCGACGGATAGCGGTTTTTTAAAACCCGAGAAATGCACCGTATTTGATAGCTTGTTGCAAGACCTCACACCGAGTGCAGGTGTGGTGCCTGTTATCGGACCCGGAGTTAGCCAAATCCCCCAAGAACCCGAAGAGGAGAGTCCTGGCCCCTAGCCCTGCCAGTGTAGCAGAAATGATGACGGATGATGATGCAGCAGCAGCCGTTCTTGTCTGGGTGAGTCGCTTAATGTTGTTCGTGTGTATTTTACGTTGAGTAGGCTAACCACGTTATTACATTAATGTACGTAAGGTGAACTAGCAAACACCGTCGTAGTTACATGCGGCTGTCCTCTTGTTTGATGGCAGATACTCTCTTCACCCTGGCCAAAAAGGCTAAAATGACCAAAGAAAAAGTAGAAAACAGGTAAACATGAGAGGTTTTTGGACAAAGTTTGTGTTCTCCATTCTTTAAGCACCGGCACCGTTTCAAAAGTACTGGTTTGACACCGGTATCGATAAAACCTAAACGATACCCATCCCTAGCTACAAATCGTTGCTAGTTTACAAACCTTTAGGGTAAGGCTTTGGTGGGGTTCTCTTGCTCCTCCTCCACCCTCGTCTTTCTCTCACTACGCTGGACGAAGACAACGAGATCTGCTTGAAAGCTCTAGCTCCTCCCGGGGAAGGGAACGTGGTTCCAACATCTCTGGTGTGTCGTCGAGTCCCGTTATGAACAATCTCCAGGTCACCTGTGTGAATTTGGACTGAATGTATATTAACTCCATCACATGTGCTTCACTCGTGTTAAAACACACTCCTGCCTTATTTTCAGGAGAAAGCCTAAAAGCGTGACAAACACAAATGAATACATTTTATGCCAAGGAATTTTAACAGAAATGTAATCTTAGCACAGACGATTTCCCAAAGATTTTACAGCACCAGCAGCTGGTGCCAATAAACCTTTACAAAAAGGATCAGAATGTTCTTGTATATCACAATTTTAACAAAATCTGATGAATCAGTGGGACATGCGTCTTCTCTGACCTGCCTGGATTCTTTTGTTCACCAGTTTAATGGCCTTCCTACCCGGCAGACTCCGGGAAGTCCCGTGGTGTGAAGGGACGCTGTAAGTGCTGGTCGACGATACAGAGTCAGCAGCAACCTGAAGACATCAAATGTTATAAAAAGTTATAATTTTTCACTCACCTGCCACTTTGTTAGGTAATGTTCAACTACTCATTATTGTAAATATCTAATTAGTCAATTATATGGCAACAACTTTGTGCTTTTAGGCATGTGGAGATGGTCAAAATGACTCGCTGAAATTCAAACTTAATATTAAGGTTATTTGCATGACTTTGAACATGGCATGGTTGTTGCTACCAGACGGGCTAGTCAAAGTATTTCAGAACTTGCTGATCTACTGAAACACAACCATCTCTAGTGTTTACTTTTGCTTTACAGATTAGTGAACTTTCCTTAAGATCGGTTTAATAATCTCTTACTCAGCAGCACGCAGATATACATACCGACTGATCAGTGCTGGTTGTCACTGACAGTGCAGAGGCGTGAGGAGGCTTTCTGTTTCTTCCTCCACTGTCCTTCCTCTCTTCTTTTTGCTTGTTGATGGTGTTGTACAGTTTACTGAGGCTTGGGGCGCTTTTCAGGTGCTGTACTTTGTGGGGGCCAAAGACTCGGATCAGTCGGGCTGTGTCCACAGTGGACATGGAGCCAGACGTGGTAGACAGGGTCTCCGACACATGTCTGTCTCTGGGAGAGGCGTACTGGCTCGGGGAGGAGCTGTGGGAGAAGCTGGAGGTGAGGGAGGCGTGGCTGCCATCCTCTGTAGACCGGCAGGTTTCATCAACACGAAAGCTCAGTTGAATGGGAGATTCAGTTTTTCTCTGTCCTCTTAATTTACTCCCATCTTCTCTGACTTCACCTCCTACACTCCTCTTAATCTCCCCCAAAGTCTGCTTTATTTCTTTCTTCCTCTTTGACACATCTTCTCTCCTCCTCTCCTGTTCTGGATGATAACCAGTCACCTTCTGTGCATCACACACATTAAATCCCCTTGCACTTTGAATAAGGCGAGAAAGGTGCTCTAAACGCTCCAGAAGTGATGCTTCTCTGTCACTGCTGGGATGCAACTCCTCCGTGGTCCACTGATCGCAGAACTTTTGCCACAACTGGTCCAGAGGGTGCTCAGAACCCCTCTGCTGCTCACTTCCTGTCTGAGGCTCAGAGGTTTGAACCCAGTGAGTGTTTCCTTTACCGTAGTCCATTTCAGAAATAAACGGCTGAAACCTCTCAGGGTGAGACTCGCTTTGATGGTGTTGGGTGAACTGGATTGGGCTGGTCCCCTGGTCTCTCTTGAAGGTTTCTTGATTCCTCAGTAACGATTCCTCGATAAAAGTGACAGAAACCTGAGAAGAAGGCTTTAGTCTTTGGCTCACAGTCTGCAAGCTTTTATTCGATGTTGTAGAGGCATCTGTCAGGAGACACACATACACAGAAAAATTACACACAGTAACAGGACACCAAGAACCAGCTAGTTTTCAGACACAAAACTGTCCAACTTAACATTTACAGCAACTTCATAAAATTAATGAACTCACATGATTACCTTTTTTCCACATACTAGTAACATAATGTTTCAGAATCAAACCAAAGAAATAAAGGAGGTATCCAGTGTGAATATGCATGCGTCGTGTTCAGGTTACCTCTCTTCCTATTTTCTTGCATGGTCAAGTTGGCAGTTTTCAGCCTCTTGCTGTAGATGCCCTCTGTGTGTCTGATAGTCACTCCGCGGTCCAACCCTGGGTCCTTGTTCCCGAGGACGTCACTGCTAAAGTGAGGAGGCACGGCGTCGTCTGAGCCTAGTTAGAATTCAATACTCTCTGTTATCTCATGAGGAGTGGCATTCAGAGCAAAACACGACTATTCTTCTTGTAAAAGCAAAACAACAACAAAAAAAACCAGTTAAAAAAAGTAAGCGAAATATTTTGGGTAAATATTTTGAAAAGAAATGAAGATGTTCAGGGACAGCCTGCGCTTGTCGTCTCAGGGTCTCAGCCCTGCCTTTGTTTCACCCAGCCCCTGAACATGAATAATTAATGTGCTGCTTGGTGTACATTACAAAGAACCAGCTGCTACCCATTCAAGCACAGGAGAAATGAGAGCTCACAATTCAATTCCCAGTACGCCTCTGAATTCTTATTTCTAATCCTTTGAACATGTTTTACAGCTTGCAGTGTGATTTACGAAAGCATTAAAGATGCAAAAATGGCCCCAAAAATTCACGTTATAGACATAAATAATATATTTTGTTCAAAGAAAAGAAAAAAACCACTCTAAACTCACCAGGTATGAAACTGTGGTTTAAGATCTAACAGTGTGAACAGACTACAAGCTGCGAGCTGAACTGCAGATGTTAAAATCCTCATCTTGTGACACTTCAGCACAGCAATATGGGAACAAGGCTGAAAAAGAAAAAAAAAATCTTTGATAAATGTACCTGTGTGGGTGCTCTCCATGGTGGTGTCAGATGCCTCTGTGGAGGAGAGATCAGCCTCTGTGTGAGGGACATAGAAGACCTCCTCACTGCCATGAGGTTTATAAGGCAGCAGGACAGGCACTGAAGTAGGAGGGAGATGCAGTTGGAATCAGTTGGTATTATGACTGATGTATTGCTGAAATGACAGACAATTAAAAAAGGGAAAAAAAAAACTACCTGGGGTTTCTGTGTTAAAGGGTCTTGTTGAAATTTCAGATCTTTCACGTGGTGTAAAGGGCTGTGCAAACGTGGTGGTCATCCTCTCCTGAGGCACAACAGTTTTAAAAACAGTAGAGCTGTTGGATCTTTCAGGCAGCCGCTGTCGTGATGGCTCTCTGGTGTCGCACCACTCAGGTGGACTGGACAAACCGACACCTTCATCCGGACTGCTGGCGGCTGATAATGAATGTCTCAGGGGGACAAATTCTTTAGGTGGTAGCCCTGAGATTACATCAGCCTGACTAGAGTAAACTATAGAGGTGAAGCTGGGATCTGTAGCTTTGGGGGGCAGAGTGAGATCGACATGTGAGATGTGACCTGTACGGGCGGAGGTTTCAACTACAGATGAGCCTGTGGCCTGATCTAAAACATGACTAACACCCATACCAGAAGCAGATAACTTACTATCTGGCCTGAATGACTGTGTGCTGTTGTATCTGACAGTCACATCTACTTTATCTAAACCCTGTGAGGGAGGAAGCGGCTCTTCAAACTGGCCTCCCTCAGTGTCTTGCCTCTTCTGAGGTGCTGGTGCAGACTGAGTTACATTTTGATTCGTGCTGTGCAAACTGTTACTAGATCCATGCACTGATGATTGTTCCCTGGTTGTTGTTTGTAGTAAATCAACCCCATGCTCTTCAGTCAGTTCTAAAGAAAGCTGCCTGTCTGTTGTTGTGGTTCTGACGGCTCCTGATGAGAGCTCGGTCAGGCGGAGGGGCTCTGGGGCTGGGCTGATGGGAGGTGGGGAAGTGGAATTTGAGGGGGAGGTGGAGCTTCTGTGGGTGGCGATAGTGATGGATGTGAAGACCTGAGGTTTTTTAGTAGGAAGCATCACTCCTTCTCTGGCAGCAATTTCACAAACTCGAGCTTCTAGGTCTGACTGAAGAGCAGTTTGTAGCAGTGTCCTGGAGTCGCGGGTGGTCCTACTCAGGCTGTGCAGCAGCTGGGTTGGCTCATTTATAGCATCCCTAGGAACAGCAAACGTCTCCGCAGATTGAGATGGATCAAGCTCCCTTGAGATTTTAACACTGGATGCTACACTGCTCTCTGTATCTGTGCTGAACTGGCTCTGAAAGAGGCAAAAAACAAGTCTGTGTCAAATAGGGAGACCAGGAAAGGACATTGTTGGTGTTATACGTGTTCTTCATTCACCACACATCAAATATTTTTGCACTGCAAACCTGCATGTGAACCATAACTGGTGACAGTTTTATTATTATTATAATTTGTCTACAACAAATTAACATTTGCCCACAGCAGTCCTGCAACACACCAGTTACCTTGAGTATGAGAGCTGTCCAGACACGTTTAGCAGATGATAAATAAACGTTTACACAAATTTAGTTTAAAATGCATACAAACGTACATATTTACATTTTATAATTCACTATATTTAAGTACATTGCTACAAATTACATACGGCGGTTGCCTACTTTGTAAAGTGCAGTAATTAAGAGTCGTTCTTATAATAATTACCTTTATGGGATTTTTTAACAGCAGTTCTCGCTTGATCTCTTCTATCCGCCTTCTATCTTCTTCGTCCAGCTGCAGAGGCTCACACTGCTGTCCTGATAGCTTCAGCTTAATCCATTCTGCAACATTAAGACACGCTTTTTCATCTGACAAAGACGTCTTTGATGTCTTATGCTACAATTTAAATAGGATCACAATTTAAACTAGATCAAATCTAAACAAATTTGAAGGGTCAAGTTGTGCAGCTAGTGGTCAGTGCGGCAGGTGAATTTTTGAACTTATCTAAAATGTTAAAACCTTAGATGTAAGAAACTCATTCATGAGTGCATGTTAATTGTTTTACCTCTAGCTTTGCTCTCCTCTTGGTCTGAAATGCTCGGTGTACTGGAGACCATGGTGGATGGAGATTCACTCTGCAGCAACTTGGCCACTCTGGCTGTCAGTGAGCTTTCACAGCTCCCATCACTCATCACTCCTTGATCAGCATCCTTGAGGATGGGTGAGGAGGACCTGCTCTGTGAAGCACCTTCAGAGGGAGTGTTTTCCTCCTCCTCCTCTGGGACATCAACTGAATCTGTAGGCGTAGAAGTAAGCTCTTGTGTACTCACAGCTGGTGGAGGTTTGATGGCCACCGGCTGTGTGGGGGCTTTGTCAGGAGGTGCAGCACTGCAGCCCTCAGGCTCTGTCCGGAAGGCTGATTTGGAGAGGACAAGTGACATCCCTGCACCATTAACATTGCTATCTTGTGGTGTTTTGTATGCCACTTTGGTTGGTGCAGTAAAAACAGCTTGTGTGGATAAATAATCAGATTGCAACGATCGATTTACACCTTTCTGACCAAAAGAGCTTTTCATCATCTTCTCTGAGGTCAGCATGGAGTCAGAGGAGGATCTGGTCCAAAGCAGTGAGGAACATGTTCTTTGGTCTCCAGTTGTAGAGGACGAGGAGAAATCCTCAAGTCTGCTGGTTTTCTTCTTCAGTAATGGGGATATGTCCTGATCGGGGAGAAGACGGGGGCTAATGGGGGAGGTTGAGGAAGCCGCAGAAGACCCAGTGGACATCATGGTCTCTGCATGAGAGACCAGTTTACGGATTTCCAACAAGGCCTTGGAGCTAACGAAAGAATCTTCTGCACTTTGATCTGCACTACGACTCGTTTGTAAAAGCAACTCCAAGCTTCTTTCTCTGTGCCTCTCCTTGACAGCTGGTGGCATGTCAGGGTTAAATTTGTCTTCTACCTGGCTGATTCCCCCACTGCTGCTTAAACTGCTGTCCTTCTGCTGTTGGCAAGGCTGCAGTATGGAAGAACGAGTGTTTTCATTGGGTGAGGTGTAAGGTGCCAGTTTGTGTTTACTCTGTCTAGCTTCTGTATGTGATGTAGGAGAAGTCCACCTGGCCTGCTCTGGGATAGTTGCCGCTGGACAGAGACTGTCCAGGCTGAACGGTATGGATATGCTGGAGTCTACTGACAGAATGCTGGACTGGGAAAACTCCTCTTTGTGGGGACTGCCACCTGAAAACACAATACCATATTTCAAACTGTAAAACCCCTCAAATTTGGGTACTTAAATAGGTGTGTGAACAGGATATATGACCACATTTTCAAGGCCTGAGGAATTTTTAAAATCTCAACAGCTTTTCATAAAAGTAAACCTGTAATAGTAATTGTTGAGGTTAGATACCCTCGGAGGGTTGAGTGCTTTTAGTTGGGGTTCCAGTAGATCCTTTAATTGTGCAGAACTCAGTGGGAGAGAATTCAGGCTCTCTGATTGGTCCCCTGGGCACAAACGGAGTCAGGATTGTAGATGGAGACTGGTCTATACCCAAGTTACGAAGATACAACTGGAAAAAAAACCAAAAAAACAGAGAGAAGACCAGATAATAAAGTGTAAGTCTAAACATAGAGTATTTTTCCCAGGTTTTTTTTTTTTTTTTTAAATTTACCGGAATTCGTTCATCAATGTTGAGCTCTCGAGGCTTGGGGAGAGGTGGTGTTGACAGTTTTGAAGTCCACGAGGGTACGTAGTTATCAATTTCTAGGCTGACAACAGATGACGTCCCAATGGAAGTTCCTAACTTTACTCCGCTGTAACTATCTTGAGAACTCGAAAGTGTCAAGTCTCGATCAAGTGACACATCACTGAAGTGACCGAGGCTTGTGAGATGTGAGGTTTGAATTGTATTGGTTTGATCATGATGATGAGCATCATCATCCTGGTTTTGACTCTTGTCTCTTTCTGAAGGGCTGTCGATCTGCTGATCTTTTTGAACTGACATCACAACTGTGCTAAGAGAAGAGTGAGACTGTGACCTGCCTAGGGGTGAGGCAGAGGGTGGTACTGCAGACCTCGTGTTCTCCTCATCAGCAAGAGCACTGCCCACTGCCTCCGTTCTTCTTGGAGAAGAATAGCCAGAAGGTGCTGTTGAGGAGGTCTGTGTGGCAGCACCTGAAACAAGAGGCTGCTGTAAACTCCTAATCTTCTGACTAACCAGTTCATTCAGGCTGCCAGATACTGCGTCATAACCTTTCTGTTTAGAGGGGATGCTAGAAAATCCCTGCAGTGACAGTCTATCAAACAAAGACACCTTGCCTGAACTCTGATTTGCCCTCCACGCATCTACTTTCTGCATATAGTTTAGACTTGGGAGGGACTGGACTTTTGCAGAGGCAGCATCCTCTTGGCACTGAGTGGCTGTGTTTGTGTTATGGGTGCAAACTACAGGAAAAGCTGGTTGTTGAGAAATTTTTGTGACTGACTGATAAGAGTTCTCTTTACTAGATTCAGTGGAGGAAAGGTGCCCCAATTTATCCTTAACACTGGATTTGGTTGGGGCATTAAAAATCCCTGGAGTGGACTGAGACTGTGGAAGAAAACCCAGGTAGGAGCCATCCAACCCTGTATGGTTTCCTGAGGACCAGAGGTCTTGCTCTCTGCAAACCCGTTCAACACCTGTTGAAAATGGCCCTGTCCATTGCATACCAACCACATTTGTTCTACTCGCACTTGGCTTCCCCTCAGACATCTGTTTGAGATTAGGTGTGAGAGATGGACCAGGTGGCGTAGGACGTTTTTGCTGTTTGTTTTTGGATTCAGCTTCAATCCTGCTGCGTTTCTCTACTTCAGAGAGCAGCTCTCTATGTAACATTTCACTACTCTCATCAGGCTGAGTACTACGGGAACCCACAGTGATGTTAGACACTTCAGATAACACTGTTTGTGGTTGGTCAGGATCTGAAACTTTGTGCTGCTGTTGTGTCTGCTGCTGGGGAAAAGAGACTTCACCTGGAGGGTGTTCTCTTACATCAGTAGTTTGCTGAGTGGTCAGTTCACAAACCTCAGTACTTTTAGACTCTTCTGTAGAAGGCTCTGTTCTCTTCACAGAGGTTTCAGAGGCAGAGGAAGTAGCACTGCTATTGCTGCTAAGCATCCCAACATCTTTCTGCAGGAGCTTCAGAAGATGCTGAGCAGGTATATTCTTACTCAGAAAGAAAGTCTCATCTTCAACAGGTTCTCCTTCTAGCTTTGCTCCAGGTTTAATCAAGGTCTCTAGGTCCTTCTCTCTGCTACTCATATCAATGACAATCACTGGGGGATGAACCCTTTCCTCTCGTTTACTTTGCTCCCCTGGTGATAGACTGTGCTGAGAGAGGGAGCAGCAGCTGCTTTCTCCTTCTTCAGAAAGGATGCTTGCCTGGGCCAATGGGTGCTGGGATAATGAGCCACGCTCAGAGGTACGAGTGGTGTGATCCTGGGATAAAAACTGAAACCGCTCTGAAGCCATGGAAACATCAGGGTATGCCCTTAAAACGTAAATAATAATTATCCATCTACATGTTATACATTCACACAATATGTAGAAAACTATGCACACAGAGCAAGCGATTAAGATGACTTTTTTTTCTTACCTTAGAGGGGCAAATTCTGTCTCACTTTGTTGTAATAAAGAAAACTCAGTGAGGTTGTGATCAACTCCAGGTAATAGGGAAAGGGCTGGAGACATGTTACTGTCCTGAAAATCTAACAGAAAGTGCAGAATGAACACACACAAATAAAAAAGCAGCAATCTAACATAAAACTATGGTAAGACCCATCAGTGTTGGCAGCCTCCTGTTGTCATGAATAAATCATACATCAAACAAAATCTGTTTGATGACAAAGTCAGAGTTAAGTGGGCTGAGACACTTGCAAAAGATGAAGAGATTAAAGCTCTGCTGACACTCCAGTAGTATACAATCTGCAAACTCTACTTTGTCTATACCAAATCTACCAAATGTATCATGCAGAGGAAATAGGGGTTTAATATACTGATAGCATTCCAATCTACAATCATTACTGTGTTAATATCCATACCTAACTGTAGAGCGGGTGTTCTTGGCTGCTGAAGTTCAGAATGTCTTTGTGTTCCTACTTGGCTTATGTGTGTTTGTCCAGCAGAACGGCTCACATCTTCATCTGCTGGCAACTCAGGAGATGCTGCCCTCCTCTGTGAACAGAATCACACTTTAATTCTGGCAGCATTTCATTTACAGGAGGTCCCGCATTACTACATGGTGGTTTGAGGGCATCAAACGAAACTGAGCAATCAATAACTGCTTGAGACAAGCCAATGTCTGTTGTGAAAAACGTCTGTTACTTGATGAGCAAAGTGGAAAGCAGAAAGTTCATACATTCATCCCATGCAGCTCTGATTCCAGTTTGATTACACCAGTATTACACTGTTGTCAGTCAGAAGTCAGAGGAAAATTCCCAGACTGATTTGAACTGATAGGAAGGCAACAGCAACTCAAACAAGTGTTTGTTACAACTAAAGTATGCAGAAGATGTACAATACATGAAACCTTTAACAAATAAGCTACGGTAGGACCAGCAAGACCAGACCACATGCCTTTGGTATCACAGGAAAGCAAGAAACTGAAACTAAAGTCTGCAACGGGCTCACCCAAACTGGACAAAATAAGACGAGAAAAACGTTGTTTGGTCTGATGCAACAGTTGAATGGTAGGGTCAGGCCTAAACAGGATAAAAGTACGGATATATCCAGCCTTGTGTCAACTGTTCAGGTTGGTCCTTTCTTACCAAATGAGCATCATTTAAACAGCGCAGTTTACCTGAGTATTGTTGCTGATCATCTCAGTACATAGTACAATTATTGACACTCTTCTATTTTGGATAGAGAACACGCTCTTCTCCTCGTTTCTTCATTCGTAGAGTTCTTCCTTTTAGAAATGATGGTGGATAGCTACAGACGGTAATGATGCTCATAGCAAGTCTGTGTTTTTTTAACTATATAAACAAAGCATTATTGTAATCTATTTCTATTTTATTAACAAATCTGCGGTTTTCGAGTAGGCACATTAGCAGCACTTAGTCATCAAAGTGATTTATTTATAACTAACAGACTAAATGGACTGACAAACAAGAAGCAACAGGTTACATTTAACCTGGTGTAACTTAGGAGACTAACCATTGACTAATGTGCACATTCTTTACGTTTGTTGCAACTGGACATGGAACAAGGAACATTATACTGGAGAGAGACTTAGCTAACGTAACCTGAGGGTAACGTTAAATGCTAGTTAGCAAAGCGGTTAGCATTTAGCTCGCTAGCCAGCTAGCTACTAATATCGCCAACACTGTGATTATATTCACATTTCCCGCCTTGAGAATTACTTTAAAGGCTCCCGAACTACGAGTTCCAATATCATCACACCAGAAGACAAGCTGCAATCGTGCAAATTACCTCTGGAGGTTCCATGCTGTCGTTTTTGCTGTTGTTGTTGTTGTTGTTGTTACTGCTGACAGTCCGCCACAACGAGCGCGCCTCCACCTTTTCCTAGCAACAAGGGGCGTTGCTAGGAAATACAAGCTCCTCAGCAAGGGACGTTCTTCTTCTTCTGTGGTGTTGGCACTTTACATCCCCTTATGTTATCTTACTGCCTCCTCTTGATTCTTTCAGTCGTAATTTATATTCGTGAAAACCCCATTCCCTCCACTGATCCACAGACACACGAGCTCACTTTTAGATTGATGTCCAGTATCTCCGAACTTTGCATAGTTGGGTCTTGTTTTACAGCACTCAGGAATGAAGACATGCTCCTGATACATGTTATAATAGTCATAAATTATTTTTTATTATTATTTTTTTGTGCATACTTGTCCCACTTACATTATTCAGATAATCAAATAAATGTTTAATATTAGACAAAGATCTATCTCTCTATCCGGTAGTTAATTAGTTTGAGCAGCAGGTGGCGGTGCTGCATAAAATAAATGAATTCACCTAAGACTCAAACATATTTCAGCTCCTATCCTTAATAACTGGTCCCAAATTTGTATTTGTATTTGTATCTTTATTTATTTCAGACATAATAAAACAAACAAAAAAACCAATATATACTCATCTACATGTATTTTCATTTACGAATATGAATATATGTGTAGATATACACACACACACGTATTTGTACAGACAAACAAGAAAAATATAATAAAATAAAACACATTCGTCTAACATGAGATAACAGTTGTTTGGTCAATTACAAGTCATGAATTAGTCCGCTTAAATGATGAGACCAGCTAATTTATCAACACTAACACAGCATTGTAAATCTGAATATTTCTATTTTAAAATCTACAACATTATGAGTAACTAAAACTTTAATAAGTTTACTCAGAAACTTTTCCTTTTGGCTTGTCAGAGTAAAAGTTTGATGTACCAGATGTAACAGCTGCTACATCTTTTTCCAAAACAGCAGCCAAGGGCTGTGAGTGAGCTAAGGGGTAAATTGAGTTAGCGGTTCACCTTATCCCACCATAAGCCACTGAAATTGAATTAAATCTCGGAAATATAAACTGGTATTTTAATGTAATATCACATAATTGGCTTGGTTTTAGTAATTTATTTTAGTTTACTGGGTTTATTTGATTGGGACAGAGCACACATACACCAAACTCCTCCTGTCATGAGAAGCAGAAGATGCTTTGAACCAGATTATAATCATAAATACATTTCCACCTGTAGTCCTTAATAGCCTGACAAGTTAGATATGACAGAAAAGCTATTGTGTTAAGAAACTAAACAATAAAAGACTGGGGTTCATTGTCCCTTTATACAGTCATTGGTTTGAATCTTTGTCTACTAAAGCTGTGTGACTAAGAATCAGCTGATTTTTTTTTTTTTGCAGGTTGCAGGCCCTTGTCTGTATTTTTTTTCCAGCCCTTGTAAGTTTAGTGTTTCTATCACTTAGATTTATAAAGTCTCAGGGTAATACAGTGCAATACACCAGTGATCAGCTATAATCCTTAACTTTACTAAAGGATTTATGCAGCACATTAGGTTCTTTCAGCATGTTTCCTTTTCTGCTTTTTTAACTTTACTGAAGACATAGAGCATAATTTCAGTGAGGATCTTGTCAGGTCAAAGGTCAAAGCTGCCACTTCCCTTCCTGGAAACTTGTGGTCAACATAAGCAGCTGTTACCGGCAGTGTTGAAAGCTGCTCCATTTCTTTCTTTCCCATCCCTTTCTTTAAAAAGCACTGGGCAACGTGCCAGTGTACTTTTTGCGTCTTCATTTGCACTCTCTCACATCCACAGCACGCTCGCACACTAACGCCCGGTGGAGTGCATGAACACATGAGTACACACATGCAAAGCAAGCCCCCGAGGGGTGCCCAAAAGTTTCCGGTCCGGAAGGCCGGACACAGAAACTCAGGAAACAATTGGGTGTCAGAGAGGTCCATGGAGTATTCGCTCCCTCCTGAAGTGTCGTTGCTGTTTTCCAGGCAGCAGAAACAACTCTCCATCTGGTTCCCCGTCTTCCTTTGTTGACAGGAAAGCGTGCTGGCATCATTCTGTCTCAGGATGAATGTGCTGCTGATACACAATGGAAGATGGCATTTATTTATTTATAAATGCCATCTTGGCGGGTGGTCATTAGTACACTTTTCATAGATAACTTGTACATCTGCGAAGGCACCATTAATGCTAACTGATGTGTACAGGTTTGTGGGGAGCATATGCTACAGATGTGTTTCAGCAAGACAATAATAAACTTAATAATAAAAGTTTTCATGCATTCTGCACAGTAAAAGACTCCAGGCCCATAAGAAACATTATAAAAAGTAAGAAAGGACAAGGGAGGCACCAAACTGTCAAGCACCTGATATATCAAACAAGGTAAAAGTACAATACCAAGCCCCCACTTAAACAACCAGTGATATGTTTTTTTTCTATTTACCCCCCCCCCCCCCCCCACCCACACACACACACACACACACACACACACACACACACACACACACACACTATTCTGCTTAACCTCCAAACCCATTTTGTAACGAGGTTACCAAAGGTTTCAGTTTTCTGACAGAAAGTGCTTGCTAAGCAGTCTTTGACATTTCACAATCGTTTCACATGAAATCTGCAATGTTAAACAAAAACCTTTTAAGGAAACGCTGCAGGGTGCAGGTCCTTGCATAACCATATCACAACCATATAATTATATAAAGTAAAAAAGCTGTGCAGCTTTTAGGTGTTCTTGAGTCTCTTCATTTGAGTATTTAACCTGATCTTTTCTTTGTTTTCTGGTCTTTTGAAACAGCTTCAAATAACTGTCGCAGCAGTGCAAGGAAGGAAGCGCTTTTGAAATGAATAATAACGTTTCAGCTTCAGTCTATGATATGCTGTCATTATATCTTAAATCACTCTATCTCGCTTGAATCTGCATTTTACAAAGCGGGTAAACTTTGTAAAAGGTGAAAGGCTTCAGTGTGATTCTAAATGTTTTCCCAGAAGTCTTGCAGCTGCTGTCTTACTGTAATCTATTACACAAGCTAATAAGGAAGCTGTGCCAGAAGGTGCTTTGCTGATGGGATAGACAGAGGAGGCTTTGAAGTGTGGTTTAGGTCATTCTTGCATTATCGTACTCCCTAAACGAACAGCACAGAGCACACCCATGAAGAATGGAAAACATGCAGGTCATTTGATGTGCTAAACAAGGATAAAGTTAAAGTTTTACTGTAATATAGATATAATTATTTGAGTATTAGCAGTTAAACTTTATCTCATCATTGCTACTTTGTGGCTATCCATGGAGGACCGATACAGGTTTGATTTTCCACCACGCCCTCTACACCTAGAGAAAGGTGTTTGTGTTTTTAAATTCTCTTATAGTCTTGATTTGTTCCACTGTTTCATGTAGAAAGTAATTTTATGACATTATATAGAGATATTAACTTCAAATTGATACACATGATTTCTTTTTTCCATGATGTGATCAGAATATCTAAAATACCCACTGAATATTTGATCCTGTTTTGTGCGTCTTTGTTCTTTATGAGCTTATAAAAAGCTGCAGGAATGTAGATTCAAAGGTCAGACTCTTTTATGACAGGTGAACTCTGAACTTTACAAGTTGAGATTCTAGGTGTCAAGTGCCAACGTGCAACCCTTTTGCTTTATATTACTTCTAATTATAACATAAACTTTATAAACTTTGGACCATAAACCTTAGGGTATTTAGTGTGGCTCAGATTCAAGTTTCCAGATAGAGCCAGCACACTTGATGGAGGCATGTTCTATCTAAAGTGCAAACAAACCTCTCACCCTGATCTAATCTGACTCCAAAAATCCCCTAACCATATAAAATCTTCATGGCTGACATTGTGATAAAATGTGTGAAGCGTAAGCACCATGAAACCAAAGACACGAGACCCTCTGATTCTCCTTCACCTGTGGTTATCGCCCCATGAGCATGACGGCACACACAGCCACCAAACAAGCTGCTCCCTTTTGAGCCGAGTGCCAGACAACACTGACTCTTTGAGTCCGATCACAGAGACCAACTGAGACTTGTCTCAGACCAAATGCCAAGTATCCCGAAGGCATCTTGCACATTGCAGTTACTCTTATGATGAAGAGAAAAGCCTTGAATACACTCTTTGCACACATTTGTACTGTGATGTTCAACACGTGCTGCCTCTCCACAACTGCCTGGTATTCCTGGCTCTAATAATAAAACCATGAAATAATTGCTCACGTACATGCAGTACGATTGAGGCTCTTTTAGTTGCACATTCAGATGGTAAATAGACAGTATTTCAGACTATTTTTTTCAGACTTGCAGACAAAGTGCTGTTTTTCTGATCGTAGCTTTTAAAAACCTTCCAATTCAATTTTGTTTTTGTAGCAATAATTCATAAGAGTTGCTTTCAGGTAAGAGGATCAGATCAGTCAGTCAATCCACTTTGAACAGCAGTTGGTGACAGTGGGATGAAGAACTCCCATTTAACAGAAAGAGATCTCCAGCAGAGGCAGACTTGTGAAGGGCCAGCCATCTATAACAACTGATTGGAGGGTGAGAGCAAAGAAAAGAGAAAAAATGGATCATTGAATAAATGACATTAATTGATTTTCTTAATGAATATGTCTAAACACAGGAGGAGTGATGATGTTTCTCCATTTCACAGCTTTATTTGCAAGTGTTAAACGATGCCTATTTTAGAATGGAATCACAACTGGAGGACAGCCGGGTAACAAACTGTAGGTAAAAATGAGGCCTTTCATATGATAGAACCTGTTTTAACCAGCAGCCTATCTCAATGGTGATGTGACCCTTGAATGTTTACACAAAATGCACTTTTTGAAGCTTCCTCCAGTGAATATCAGAAACTGGATCGAACATCCAGAGCACCAAAGCTTGTTTCTGTTACTCCATCTCACAGCCATTATACATCATTGCTGCTTAATGTTTATGTTATAGCCCATTATTTTGATGCTTCGATTTATGGTGACGATTGGAGTGAGTGTAAGACTTTTTTTCTCCCTGATTTTTAAAGCGATTGAAATCTTTTTTTTTCTGTCCTGACCTTTTTCATATGGATAAATCATGTACTTATTAACTT